CTATTGATTGTAGTAGCTTTTGTTGGTGGAATTTTGTAGGACTGGTCGGTTGACATGGAAGCATAGTGGGTGTTGAGTGTGTTGGCATCAATATGCTGCACGGTTTATGTGTTGAGTGATTTCTCAGAGCCTCTAATCATGTTGATTTGTTCTCACATGGCTTTGTTTCCACGCTTACTATTAGTGAAAGTTTTCGAGTTGAAGTTGATAATAAGTTTACTGATGTATTTGGTGATCGCTGCGGCTTTGACGGTGAATCCTAATCTCATGAGTTTATTTTTTTGGCGAAGTAGAAATTTGATGAATGGGCTGATAAATGAAGGGTCTGATGATCTAAGCGTGATGTTTGATGCTGGATAGTACCAACTGTAAGTTGAATTAATGATTTTATAGAATTTATCAAAACATTGCTGCAAAAAATTGGCAATAGAGTTAGCTGAGATCATATTATTTTTAATATTGTTATTATTATTATTATATCCCCCAACATCAATGTAACAGGTTCTTTACGGCTTCTATCAAAAGACTTGAAATTTGATGTGTAGAGACAGAAAATAAGCTTTCTTGATATTCAAATAAATCGAAATAGAATACAAATTAACAAAATATTGTTCAATTATTAAGTTAATGTATGTACTGTCGTTGGGGTGACAAACGTGCTTTATTACTACGGTATAGACTGTCACGTTGTTGTGCGAGTGTTGTTGTTGGAATAACTGACGCCACGATGTTGCTGGATAAGAGTTGTTGTAGCTGAGGTGGTCGTTACCCTGACACTGCTGGGTTGGAGTAGTTGTTGAAATAGCTGAAACCACGACACTATTGTGTTGGAGCTGTTGTTGAAATAACTGGTTGCCGCAGCTGCTGTAGTTGTGGTGGTTGTTATCACGACACTGTTGTGTTGGCGTTGTTGTTGAAATAACTGACGCCACGACGTTGCTGGATAAGAGTTGTTGTCGCTGAGGTGGTTGTTACCCTGACGCTGCTGAGTTGGAGTTGTTGAAATAACTGAAACCACGACACTATTGAGTTGGAGCTGTTGTTGAAATAACTGGTTGTTGCAGCTGCTGTAGTTGTGGTGGTTGTTATCACGACGCTGTTGTGTTGGAGTTGTTGTTGACTCCGCTACTACTACCTGCCACCAATTACCACTTTATTCCTATTAACGACGTTCCAGTTAGACTTGTGACTGCCAACGTCCTACCGCCAAACCTACTACCAAACGTTTTTATTCCAAATTAAACCAATAATTACTAAAATGCAAAGTTCTACCGTCTACTATCAACCAAGAGTTAAACTACGCCGTTCTGACCCACTAATTCTCCTATTATCGCTTTATATATTTTTTGTTTTTTCCGCAATGCGGCAACCCCGTTAAGATTAAATCATGAGGCGCCGCATGCTAAACCTCAACCTGTGACAATCATAAAATCTCTAGTCATTGCCAGTCCTTCAGCTATCAGTGATAACAGTTTGCTGTTATTTTTATCATTAGATGAGGGGCTTCTGTAAATAAACAAAATATTTAAAATATTCAAAATCTTGTTGGAAAAACAAAGCTTGACTAACATAAACTCTTTAAAAGTTGAATTTGTGACAACCTCATATACTACCAATGATTTTTTGTAGAATAATAGTAAATCTTTTCTATTAACCTCAGCAAAACCAGAAGTGAGTACTGAATAACCATCTAGGTTGACTTTTGACAAAACTCTACATGAACTGAAATTCTTAGGATTGACTTCATTTAATGCAATTATATCAGGTGAATCAACCAGTCTTTCCAAATACAGCTTTAAATCATCAAATTTGTTTGACAAAGAATCAATATTAGACAAAAAAAACACTTAAATTGTTTTAGCTTCCAAGGCTTGAATTTATTCTGACACTAAATTTTGTTTTTTAAAAGCAACAACGTGAAAATCTCCTGGTTTACCCTTTAATCTGAAGGACCAATTAGCCACATTATCTTTGGCACCAATCTCCTTTTTTTTATCTTCCAACATTTTTTTGTTGTTAACTCTGTCTTCCCTGGATAAATCATGGTTAATTATGATCTTTTTGAAATTAACAGATTTACTCAATTTATAACAGTTTGCAAGCACCAGATTTTTAGTGTTAGTACTTACAAACTGTACCAAGATGGGTATGGACTTGTTCTCATCAGACTTCCCATCCTGAACACCTCGATCAATTCTGAATCTATATCGAGCTAGTAATTTTCTTTAACAGGTAGTTGGCTGCAATTTTGTGGCTATCACTCTCTGGCAGATTATAGATAATGATATTATTTTCTCTTTTCTCCCTGTCATTGAATGTTTCGAGTTTATTTGTTGTGTCAGTGAAGGATATTGGCGCCACCTTAAAATCAGAAGAAAGCTTATCTACTTTTCCTTTAACTACATCAGAAAACAGCCTCATTGTTTGTTCACTCTTTTCCTCATTTAATCTTGTTGATTTTTTATGATGACTGGTTGGGTATATTATATGACTGATTGTGAATATTATATAGGTTGAATGTGTATAATATGTTGGCTGATTGGAATATTATGGTGGCCAATTTGGTATATTATAACATTCACAATCAACTAAAATCAGAAACTTCAAAATCTATTGCCATTTGCCGATAAATTTGATGCATTAAGCCAATCGGCCAACAAAGCTATTTAGCAAATGAAGCCACTAATTAATTGATCAAACCTGAGATCATTTGATCATCAATCAGTCAATCAATCAAATGCAATTAAAATTACAATGTGAAAACTTTTTATTACATTAGGAATAAATTTTGAAAAAATAATCTGAATCAAAATATTAATCTTCTATTTATCCTAAAGTCTCAAGCCAATTGTGTAAGC